GTTCTAGCTACTTGGAAGGCTGAGGCAAAAGGATCACCTGAACCCAGCAGGTCGAGGCTGCAGTGAGCCATGATTGTGCCACTGCACTCCAGCCTGGGTGACAGAGTGAGACCCTGACTCAAAAAATAACTAGATAAGATAAAAAGAGGAGGTGACATCAGATGGCTTTGAAGAACAGTTGGGGATTTGGTCATGATGAAAGGGATGAGGAAGATGATCCTGGCAGAGGGACCGTGGTGCCCGGGAGATCTGGAGGAGGCATGAAAGGGGGAACATATTGCCCAGGGTCTTGATGCCAAACGAGTGACCAGGGATTCAGTCCTGGGGGCACTGGGGAGCCACAGGAGAACTGTGAGCTGGGGAGAGGCAGGATCAGTCCTGATCTGAAAAGACTCCCCTAGGGCTGTGTTGGGGATGGATGGGGGTTCCAACCAGGCGCCCCTCCCCCAGGAATTATGGGCCCACCGTGTTGGTGCAACAGGAAGCTCAGAAGAAGGGCTGCGAGCAAGTGCTGTGGCTGTACGGGCCTGACCACGAGCTCACCGAGGTGGGCACTATGAACATCTTCGTCTACTGGACCCATGAGGACGGGGGTGAGCCCACCCGCGACCCAGCCCAAGCCCTGGTGGAAGTGGTGGGACCATCACTCCTAGCAGGGACTCTCTGGGGTGGCGTGGCTCCTGAGAGGGTGGGGTGGGTGCCCAAGGGTGTGAGGTGACATCCCCTGTCCCTGACGCCCGATCCAGTGCTGGAGCTGGTGACCCCCCCGCTGGATGGTGTCATCCTGCCTGGAGTGGTCAGACAGAGCCTGCTGGACCTGGCGCAGTCGTGGGTGAGGGCGTGGTGGCGTCTGGTGACAGGCACCTGTGTGTTGGGGTCCCGGATATCAGGGACTATGGGGGGGGCAGGAACTGCTGGCGTGTCTCTACCTTTCCCCTCTTCGGGTCTGTCTCTCCCCTTGGGTCTTTCTCACCCTCCTTTGGGAGGGAGAGGCAGGTCTGCAGCAGGGCTGTCCTCTGGGGACACATGGGTCTCTGGCCCTCGCCCTAGGGCGAGTTCCGGGTGGTGGAGCGGAAGATCCCCATGAGGGCATTGCTGCGGGCGCTGGAGGAGGGCCGGGTGCGGGAGGTCTTCGGCTCGGGCACGGCTTGCCAGGTGTGCCCTGTGCACCGGATCCTGTACCAGGACAAGGTGAGGTGGACCTCCATGGGGGGCGGGGGCAGGGAGAGGGGCTCGGCCCTCACTGCACCTCGTCTTCCAGCACCTCCACATTCCCACCATGGAAAATGGGCCCGAGCTGACCCTCCGCTTCCAGAAGGAGCTGAAGACCATCCAGGTGAGGCTCGGGGAGCAGGAGATGGGCCGGAGCGTGTTCCCAGAGAAGTTCAGGTCCCAGGAGCCTCAGGACTGAGTCGAGCTCCCCTCCATAGTCCCAGGAACAGATAACAGCCCTTCCTAGCGAGGTCCAGGCCCAGGGGCTTTCTGCAAACCTCTGGGGCCTGGAACACCCCTTGGGGATCAATATCCCTTTCCTGCGAGCTCCTTGGCTTGAGAAATCTCCTTCCCATGAGCCTCTGCGGCCCTAGGCCTCCTTCTTGGGGGAGAAACTGCCTTTCCATGAACCTCTGGGACTTCAGCCTGCCCTCTGGCCACAGCGGTCGGCCTCCCAAGGTTCCCTGGAGCCCTGGGCTATCCCTTTGGCCAGAGAAATCGCCCTCCCGTGAGTCTCTGGACTTTGCCCCCTCTGTGGCCCAGGAATGTTTCCTCCCATAAGGCTCTAGGGGCATTCCCATTCTTCTGAGCCAAGGTGTCTCTCCCGGGAACCTCTGGGCTCCTTTTCCAGTGCTCCAGACCTCAGCTGCCTTTCGGCAGACTCCTGTGCATCGGGACCTAGAAGGACACTTGTCCTGACTATCCGGGCCTTCCCCGCTGGAAATGACTCTTTCCAAGAGCCTTCCGGGCCTGGCAATAATTCCTGACTCCTGAGCCACGTCTCCCTTAAGCCTCTGAGCCGCCTGGGCCTTGGTTCCTCCTTCCCAGGCGGGCGGGCGGGCCTGCGGGAAGTGGACTACATTTCCCATGAGGCCCTGGGGCGCGGCCCCCGTAAGCCCTCAGCCGGGGGCGCCCCGGGGCCTGCCGGGAGTTGCAGTGCGGCTGCGGCCTGACGCTCCGCCTGGGTTGTCCCGCAGTACGAAACGGGCGCCCACGAGTGGATTCTCCCGGTGTGACGCCGCGGGCCGCGCCAGCCGCCCTTCGGATCTGTCGCCTGTAGTCACGCCGGCCCTCGCCTCGCTACCAATGTCTCACCTCAAGTGCAATACGAAAGAAAAGGCCGGGGGACCGGACGCCTGGGTCTCTGGCGCCCCCGCGCGGCCGCTACGCTCCAAAGCCATCGGGACCGGACCCAGGCATCTCGGCCCGCAGCCCCGCGTCTCCGGCCTCGGGGGTCAATGCGCCTCGTTGCTCCGTGTCGCGGGGTCAAGGGTGCACCTTGGCCCCGACTCTGCATCTCTCCGTTCTCAGGCCAGAACCCCCGGTGCTCCGTTGGTTTATTGTTGTTTTTTGTTTGTTTCTCTTTCTCCTTGCTGGAATTTTGAAGTAAAATGCCAAAGAACAAGACATGGCCCGGCTTTTCTTGGGGATCCTGGGGGTCTTTCGCCAGGAATCCTGGTCCTCGGCCCATGTTATCTTCGGGGACCCCGTAGTCCGAGCCCCCCGTGTCCTGGCGGTGGCTCCAGCCCGGGAGAGCGCCCACTTCCCCCAACTGAGCTTATAGGGTCTCCCTCCCTGACCGGTCCCTCCCTATGTTCCCGTCCTGGGGACAGCCCCACCGAACCCCCAGTCAGTATCCAGACCCTTCACCCTCCTCTCAAAGTCCGTCAGCCCCCAACCCCTGCCCCTCCTGCCCCTGTCTCTGTCATCGCTCCCCTCCTCTCTGTCTGCCCCGGCCCTGGCTTCAGCAAATGTCTGGGCTGCAACATTATCCCAGCCTCCAGTCTGTCCCTTACCTGTCCCAAAGGGGGAGTCTCCCGTGCTCACTGCCCTTCAAGGGTCCCCCACCGCCTTCTGCAGATGGTGGGCCCTAGTGCGTGCAGGGTGAGGCCTGATACTCTCAACTGTTGGAGGGATTGAACATCAGGAAGGTTTTAGCCAGGTGTGGCATCATGGTGGCTCACCCCTGTAATCCCAGCAATTTGAGAGGCCAAGGCAAGAGGATTGTCTGAGCCCAGGAGTTCAAGACTCTGTCTCTACAAAAAATATTTAAAAAATAGCTGGGCATCCAGGCGCGGTGGCTCAAGCCTACAATCTCAGCACTTTGGGAGGCTGAGGCGAGAGGATTGCCTGAGTCCATGGGTTCAAAACCAGTCTGGGCAACATGGTGAGACCTGTCTCTACAATAAACAAAAAAATTAGCTTGGCGTGGTAGCGTGTGCCTGTAGTTCTGGCTACTTGGAAGGCTGAGGCGGAAGGATCGCCTGAGCCCAGCAGGTCGAGGCTGTGGTGGCCATGAGCATGCCACTGCACTCCAGCCTGGGCACCAGAATGAGACTCTGACTCAAAAACAAAAAAAGATGATAATGTTATGACTGAGTAAGCAAGAAGAAGTTACGCCAGCAAGTTGAGTCTAATTAGTTATGAATTTATTAAACACGCGGATCAAGAGTAGGCAAACACCAGAAAAACCCTTGGCACATTGGTGCAATTTGTGACACCCTTTTATAGGTAAAATTTGCAGCATTGGCTATGTAGCAACTTAAGTGACCATAGCAACTATTAACTAACGACTTGGCAACCAAAATGGGAACTTTGATTGTTAGGGAGCTTTGATTAATTTCATGTCCTAGGTATCGCCAGTGCCCAGAAAGTCCCTGGAGTTCTGCCATTAAGATATAGTTTAGGGAGTTACACAGAGACAAGGAAGAAGAATCATTGTTTTTTTTTGTTTGTTTTAGTTGGAGTCTCACTCTGTCGCCCAGACTGGAGTGCAGTGGCTGCTCCCGGCCACCACAGCCTCGACCTGCTGGGCTCTGGCGATCCTTCCGCCTCAGCCTTCCAAGGAGCTGGAACTACAGGCGCGCGCTACCATGCCCGGCTCGTTTTTGATTTATTGTAAAAAAAAAAAAAAAAAAAAGGAAAGGTTGAAGACTGCTTATTCTGAGCCAACGTGAGAACCCAGACCCGAGGTGTACGTCCCCAGGACATCCTGAGGCGGTGTGTCTGCTGTGGCTGAATGATAGCTTGGTTATATTCAATTTAGGGAGGCGGAAGTTACAAAAACCATAAATCTATATGCGTGATGTTTTCATTGGCTCGGCCTGGGAAGGAGGCACATTTCCAAGCAGGGGCTTGCAGGTTATAGGTGTATTTGAGGATCTCTTGACTGGTAATTTGTAGTCCCTATCTAAGGAGTTTTGGAAATGAGTAAAGGACTAGATGCCCAGAGTCTGGGAGTCCACAAGAAGTGACTTTGCAGGGTCATAAAACACGTTGATTTCCTTCATTTTCTGTTGTGTGACGTTGTGCCAGAGTCAGGTGGGAAAGCAAACCTCAGTATATGGATAATAAGAGCCTGTCTGGGGCCAGGCACAGTGGCTCACACCTGTAATCCCAGCACTTTGGGAGGCCGAGATGAGAAGATTGCCTGAGCCCATGGGTTCGAGACCAGCCTGGACAACTTGGCAAGAAAAAAGAAAAAGGTGAGGTTTAGTACAATTTAAGGCCGGGCGCGGTGGCTCACGCCTATAATCCCAGCACTTTGGGAGGCAGAGGAGATAGGATTGCCTGAGTCCAGGGGTTCGAGACCAGCCCAGGCAACTTGGTGAGACCTCATCTCTACAATCACCAAAGCCCAGGAGTTCAAGACCAAACTGAGCAACATGGTGAGACCAACCTGAGCAACATGGCAAGACCTCTTCTCTACCAAAAATTTAAAATGTTAGCTGGTTGTTGTGGCGTGCGCCTGTATTCCCAGCTCCTCGGGAGGCTGAGGTGGGAGGATCACTTGAGGTAAGAGGGTGGAGTCTGCAATGACCCAGGATTGCACCATGCACTCCAGCCTGGATGACAGAGCGAGACCCTGTCTCTTTAAAACTAAAAATAAAGGAAGACTCTTTTTTTTTTTTTTTGAGTTGAAGTCTCACTCTGTCGCCCACACTGGAGTGCAGTGGCTGCTCCCGGCCACCGCAACCTCGACCTGCTGGGCTCCGGCGATCCTTCCGCCTCAGCCTTCCAAGTAGCTGGAATTACAGGCACGTGCTACCACGCCCGGCTAATTTTTGATTTATTGTAGAGGTGAGGTCTCGCCAAATTGCCCAGGCAGGTCTCAAACCTGCAGGCTTAGACAATTCACTCACCTCAGCCTCCCAAAGCGTGGGATTATAGGCTGAGCCATCGAGCCCAGCTAGGAAGACTCTTTTTAGGTGATTTTGTTTTTAATTTTTTCTTTTTTTGGTGAGTCATGGTCTCTCTCTGTTGCCCAGGTTGGAGTGCAGTGACATGATCATGACCATCACAGCCTCAATCTTTTGGACTCAGGCAGTCCTTCTGCCTCAGCCTCCCCAGTAGCTGGGACTACAGGCACGTGCCGCCATGCTCAGATAATTTTTTTTTGAGTTGGAGTCTCACTCATTCACCCAGGCTGGAGTGCTGTGGCACACTCACGGCCACCCCAGCATTGACCTGCTGGGCTCTGGCGATCCTTCCGCCTCAGCCTTCCAAGTAGCTGGAACTACAGCCACACACCACCACCATGCCTGTTTTGATTTATTGTAGAGACGAGGTCTCGCCAAGTTGCCCGGGCAGGTCTCAAACCCACAGGCTCAGACAATCCACTTGTCTTGGCTTCCCAAAGTGCTAGGATTACAGGCTGATCTCCCGAGCCTGGCCTAATTTTTATATTTTATTGTAGAGGCAAGGTCTCGCTAAGTTGTCCAGGCTGATCTGGAACCTGTGAGCTCAGACTGCCCTCTCGCCTCGGCCTCCCAAATGCTGGGATTACAGGTGTGAGCCATTGGGCCTGGCTGCCATTTTTTTTTTTTTAAACAAAGGAGTGAAGTCTGTTCAATTTGGAAAGAATGGCTTCAACAAATGGTGCTAACACAAGTGTTTATCCACATGCAAAGGAATGAAGTCGAATGGTACTTCACACTATACTCAAAAAAGTTAACTCAAAGCCGGGCTCGGTGGCTCAGCCTGTAATCCCGCGCCTTTGGGAGGCTGAGGTGAGTGGATTGCCTGAGCCCGCGGGTTCGAGACCCGCCTGGGCAGGGAGACCTCATCTCTACAATAA